ATAACAAGAATGTCATGTTGTTTTAAGCTTTGGTTAAGAGACCAAAGGAATTTGTCTTGTTGCAGACTGAAGGGCAAGTGAAGGGCATCGCTCATGGTGCTATGTAAAATGTGAAGAACAGACTTGGAATGAACGAAAAGAAATGAATCAAATTCACTAGATCTACCATTGTTCTGCCAACAAATTAAGAAGACGATTTACATGATAGCTCCTTCAAACCATAAACGTTATTTAGAGTTTGCAAAGCAGTAATTAAACTGCACAAAGTTGGCCAGTAACTGTGCTGGTGGAACAAAAAATCAAAGGAATGATGTGACACAGATCACCAAAAGATCATCTTCATCGTAAGGAGATTTATGGATAACTACCTCATAACACATTCTTCCTTTTTATAATTCTGCCTTGATTATGCTGTTCATCTTCAATGATATTGACATCAGGCAAAAGTAGACTCTCTGCATATACAATTGCTTGACATGGACGCTTATACTTTGAAGAATGTTTAAAATTTGAGGACCACATTTGCAAATCCTAAATTTCTCAAATGTTGATTCTTCAGCATCAGACCTTATCAAGTCCTTTTCCTCACTGATTGATACAAGTTGTTTGCCTTTTAAAATGTGTCAGATGTAATTCCTGATCTTATAGTCTCCGGTTGATGGTTTCCATAAAAAGAAATCCTTGTTCCTCTCAGGAGCCTGACTTGATGATCCTGTCTTTTTGGTGGAAACTTGATCACCAAAAGATGTTTCATAGTCTAACAAAGTTCAGGCCAGAAGGTGTTGATGTGAGGATATTCGTTCACGATGCTCGTTCCGAGTGCATTCTGGCTAATACTTCTCTAAAGTACTCTAAACGATCGTCGCAGAGCTCATTTGAGAGAGCGAAAAGCTACTAGTAGTAGTCAAATCTATATGCTTATTAATCACTTTTTTGTTGCATCCCAAGCCTGGTATTGCTGTAAAAACCCTGGAAAGAATCATGCAGGTAGATGAAATAGCGAGACTCTTAGTTTAAAATATGGATCATGACTTCACTTTAGCAAGAACGACATGGAAATATTTTCTTCTCCACTGTTCCAGCCACAAGTTCTATCTTCTGCTGGTATTTCCAGCATAAATTTACTGGATTTACATGGTTCCTATAAACAAAAACAAGGCCATAGTAGTTTCGTAGTTCCTTTTCGCACCATTAAAATTCTTGAACCCTCATGGAGAACATTTAAAGGTTGCAGATCACTTTAACAAATTAAATTGGCCTTTATATGAGCTGCTCAAAGGTCTAAACTCAGGCATCAAGTGTACTACTGCTAGCAGCCACTAATATCACATCTGAAGAATTATAAAACATGTAAATATTAGAACTAGAGCTTAGCTCAGTGGTTTATGCAACCATCTTTAAGAGGTGGCATTCAACAGGTCTGAAGTTCAAATCTTAGTGCATGCAATCCCATCCTTTATTCCCAGACTGCAAGCAAAGGAAATTCATTTATTCATTTGTTATGACAGCCTTTTCTCTTGTAATTATCCCATGTTTGCGAGGCGCCATCAAAACCCTGTCGATTCTCAATCCCATAACTAAAGGGATCATAAAATAAATTATACTGCTTATAAGATTTGGCAACTCATTCAAAAAGGGAAGCAATCAAGGAAAGAAGAAGCAAAGAATGACAAGTGATAAGGGAAATCCTTGAACTCTCCATTTTCTAAAAATAACTATAATTAAGGCACTGATTATACTGTATCAGAACTCCTAAACTTTAGAGGTCTCTTCAATATTTTACACTCAATCAGATGCTAATTAGCAATTATATGGAGCAATAAATGGCATTCCAATGGGTGGCATCATGGTTCATGGCCTATAAATTCTTGTTTGTGTTTAGCTACTCAAAAGCAAAAAGATTTTGAAATCATGAAGAGATTTGTGATCACCATTGTAGTCTCCATTATACTTCTGCTAGTTGCAGTTCAAGCCCAAGATTTCTTCCCTTTTGGTTATTCTACTTCTGAAGAAACCTCTTTGCTTTCAGAATCTGAATTTCCTCAGGATTTTGAAGACACCAAATGGTCCTTCGAGACTCAACAGTTTCCCTTGAAAACACGCTTAGATTCTGGAAGAACCTCCCTGCCTTCAGAATCTGAATTTTTTCAAGATTTTGAAGGCGCCAGTTTGCCCCTCGAGACCCAACAATCACCTCTGGAAACTCAGTCACGGTTTGAGAAAACCTCTCGGTCTTCAGAATCTAAATTTCCTTATGATTTTGAAGACACCAATTTGCCTCTCGAGATCCAACAGTCACCTCAGGAAACACAGTCACATTCTGAGAAAACCATTCTGTCGTCAGAATCTGGATTACCTCAAGTTTCTGAAAACACCAATGAGCCCTTCCAAACCCAACATTTGCCTCTGGAAAAACAGTCACGTTCTGAGAGAACCTTTCTGTCTTCAGAACCTGAATTTCCTCAAGTTTCTGAATACACCTATGAGCCCTTCCAAACCCAACAGTTGCCTCTGGAAACAGAGTCAAATTCCGAAATCCATTCGCCTCCCAAATCTCCTGCACCTTTGCCTTCGGAAACACCATCCCCATTGCCTCCTCCAAAACGTCCATGGAGTCCAGAAAAGACATGTAAAACGAAGTGTACTATGAAGTGCATGAGAAAGAAAGTTCCTCTTCTCCATAACTTATGCAACAAAGTCTGTATGAAAAGATGCATTCTTCATTACTCGCAGGTGATCTACAATTGTACTAATCATTGTGCAGAGTCTATGCCCAAAAATTTCAAATCAGGTATAAAAACTATATAAATCAACTTCATTTCACCCTTGTAATCTTTCCTTTTTTGGTATTGAATTATATATTCATCAATTTCTGATAAAATATTCTTCTTGGTATTCTTGTTCTTGCAGATAAGAAGAAAGAAGCAGGCTATGTGAAATATTGCTTCCAAAAGTGCATCAAGAATTTCTAGGCTGCTGTAATTTGCTCTATTAGATAGTCTGAAATTTGTACCAAAAATAAATGACCTGAGATTGATGTTCTCATTGGTTTATTGACCATACAATATCTGAGATTATTGTTCATTGACATCTGAATACATCGGCCAGGACTTGATGGATATCTTGGTTATTTATCTGTTATCTACAGCAGTTTTGATTTTGTCTTGAAGCCTTAAAGCCCCCGTTGAGGTTATTAGTAACTTTAACAACTCTATCATTCATGCTTGAAAGCTGCCATTAATCTGAGAAATGTGGAGTGACAGATCTATCATTCACCGAAGGGATCAAAAAATGAATGACCCATCTAAAACAGTTAAACATTCTAAAACTAAAACAAGCATTGAATGTGCTGTATCAGAGACCCAAAACTTGAGAGGTATCTTCAATGTCATTTCTTCAATCACTTACAATCAGCAATTACGTACAGCAGCTTTTAACGGAATTTCCATAGCTGCCAATAAGGTTCCCTGTCTATAATTTAGTTTTGCCTAGTGTTTGACTTCCCAAACAGCAAAACTATTTGGGAAAGCGAGAGTGTAAGGGGTAACAAAAACAATGGAAACAATTAGTCTGAAGAAGAGATTAATTGTGCTAGCCAAGGCGGTCTCCATTACACTTCTGCTCATTGCAGTCCAAGCTCAAGATTTATTCCCCCATGATGACTTTCCTATGTTCCCTGAAGATTCCGAAGAAACCACTTTCCCCTTGGATACAGAATCTCATTCTGAAATGCTTTGACCAACTTCTGAAACTTCTCCGCCTTTGCCTTTGGATACCTCATCAAAACCAGATGAAGAACCTCCGCTCGCAGAAGCCTTTTTGCGGCCCCCCAAAGTTCCTTCTTCTACTAAAAGTCCTTTGATCAGTTCCAGAAAACTTTTGCAAGATAAAGTGTGCTAAAAAGTGCTTGGTAATGAAAGGTTCTATCCATGATAATGTGTAACAAAGTCTGTAAGCAAAAATGCTTGCTTACCTATTCTCACGCCATTTACATGATCAGTGAAACTAGGGTATGAAACTGTTTATTTTTATTCATTAAGAACTGTTTCTTGGAGGAAGGTTGGTAGTTTCCGATTTGATGATAATGTGTATGAATCTGGAGTGCTTCTCAATGGGGCAATTCACTGGATGGCGAGTCGTAGAGATGGGGCAGATTATGAGTGTACGGTTGCTGCTTTTAGTATTTTTGGATATGCCGCTACCTGACATTGTCGATACTAGCTTTGAATTTGTGGTAGGGGTTCTTAATGGACGCCTCTGTATGCTTCATAGCCGCAATTAGATGCACAATGATTTTTGGGTGATGACCAAGTGTGGTGTGGGTGACTCATGCATTAAATTGACCCTCGGTATCTCATACATACGCATGAAGCCATTGTGTTTGGCATAGAACTCACTATATCTAGCTGTAAAAAAATAAGAAACAACCAAGGGTTATAGGATATAATATACCAGAGATCGTACTGATATCTACCTGTAAGAGAGTAAGCTTACCTCATATATACTTTGGACTTTGGAGTTGATAATGATGTCTTTGAAATTGCATGTAATAGGTTTATTCATGGACGAGTAGGACCTGAGAACCAAGTGCCGGTAATCCCGATGCTTGGTTTTTATTTTTTTTATCTCACTCATCGTTATGAAAAGTTTCTGCAACATATGGTTATGAATAATTATGACATTGAAGTTACCTAGCCAAAAGATTATGCCAATTGCAGTGTTAATATCACCATTTCTGTTTTATCTGCTTCTACTCTCAGCTTCTCAACGACGTCTACTGAGCATTTCAATCTAATATCAGTAGCATTCAATAGAATCAAGGCCAAGGGTGGGTGATTGTTGCTTTTGATTTTGCAGAGGGAAAGTTCATGGAAGTGCCTCTACCATCTGATTCTGCAGATAGTTTTACTACAGTCGGGGTTTTAAGGGGATGTCTTTGTTGGCTTACTTGTGGCACTGGCACTGTTGCAATGAAGCAATATGATTTCTGGGTAATGAAGGAATATGACGAGGAAGAATCATGGACTAAAGCTGTGGTCAACATCCCATTTCTGTGCTTAAGACCTTTGAGTTTCTTGAAGAATGTTGAAGCTTTGTTGGAGATGGATGGAAAATTGGTTCTTTACAATCCAAGAGAAGGAACACAATGTAGAAGGAAACTGGAAATAGAGAGCCTTGTTTCACCTACTTTGTTGTGGCAGTGGGAGTTGGGAGAGATATGCAGTTCAGATGAAAATGAATGAAGAATTGGTATTTATTTGTAATTTTGCTGTTGCCATCTAGCTTAGGTATGTATCTTAGTTATAAATGGATCAGAAACCAACCATTAAAAACCTGATAAAGCTATGTGTTCATTATTTCTTGCATATCTATTTGAAAATTTTCTTCTGATTCAAGTTTAATGGCATGTGCAATTTAAGAAATTTATGATACCAAACTAACTTGTCTACTCCCAAGTGCCAGCTCCAACCCCAACACCACTGCCGAAAATGCCACCTCTGCCCCACTTCTGCCCCAACTCAGCCTTTGGCAGCCAACAAATATTACATCTGCCCCCACCTCTGCCCCACCTGTCTTTGGCAGCCACCAAAGATTACGTAACAGTCAAGATGTACAAGAAAAGGCTGATAAATATCCTATCAACCCCACCTCCATTGCCAATATTCCTCAGTACATGTTGTAAATATCCTATCACCCATATTCATTTACAGAATATCTATAGTCCCTGATTTAACAAATTAATGAGTATAATCTATTTTTTAATTAATTAAAATTTCACGTTAAAAATATTATTATTATTATTATATGTTACTGATGACTAATTTTTGGCCATTAATCTTGTTCTTTTTTTTTTTGTTTTTTACCCATTTTTTGGGCCTGTCTTAGCTTCTTTACCTTGTTCTTTAACTTATTTTCATGGATTCATCATTCAACATTCACAGTTGTGATTCAAATACACAAAAGCCATTGTTATTCAGAAACAAAAGTCTTCTGTTACACCCAAACCATCAAAAAACTAGGTACACATGCTATTCAACAATCAACATACAAGATTTTAGCCTAAAGATGAAAATTCCAAGAAGTTACCTCAATCAACAAAGCTTTTTCCACCTTCACGCATGATCTCATATGCAAGTTTATATTTTTCTATAGATGCCGACCCAAATTCTACATATTTACATGCTGTTTCTCTTAAACTCCAGATCATACAGGCCTTTAGTTCTTGGGAGATTATCCCTGACTCAGCACCACATAAAATTCGATACTCAGCATTTCTCATCCACCGACATAGGATATATTGAGGAGGAAGTTCCCTTATGTCCAACAATTTGAACACTTTCAAGATATGTCTGCACAGTATCCCTTCAAATTCAAACATTTGACAGCTACAATTAACACTGAGGTTGACTGAACTAAAGGTAACAGCATGTTTGTCATTCTCATTCCCAGACCATTTAACCAAGTACCTGCTGATAGTCCCTTCTTCGTAAGTTTTTATCCCAATATAACTATAAGATTGTAGGAGCTCATCTTGAAATATTTTAAAGATAGTAAAAGTATATAGCCTTCTACACTGTTCTTCTATTCGTTCTTTTGTCTGCAAACAAGCCTGCAAATTAAAAGAGTTGAAATCTTCTTTCCTTTCCTCCTCACGACGTTGCTCAAGTCCTTGTTCATATTGTGAAATAAACTCTCTAAGTGGTGTTTGGCCATTTACCTGTGTACCGAAGAATGATTCAACACTTTCACCTATAGGTATGCCAGCAAAAAATTTGCCCCGTAAATACAACGGAACCCAACTTTCACGCTTTTCATACATGTGTTTTAGCCAAACATTTTCCCTTAAGTTGTATTTATTGATAAGTGAATTCCATGTGGTATTGAACTCAACAGTTGTCTGACATTGATAAATGCACTTTTCGTACCCATATCTAAATTCAATAGGCAGAGACTGCAAATTCTCTCGCTCCTTGGCTCTAATCTGCCACAATGAAAAACGATGATGGGTCCCAGGAAAGACTTCAGTGATTGCTTGGTGGATGGCCACGTCTTGATCAGCAATAATTGACTTAGGATGGTGCTGAGACATTGCCCTAAACCATGTTTGAAACAACCAAGTAAAAGACTCCTTTGATTCATTAGCAATCAAAGCAGATCCGAGAAGCACTGGCTGCTTGTGGTGGTTTACTCCAACAAATGTTGCAAATGGCACCACATAGTTACTTTTCCTGTATGAAGTATCAAAAATAATGACATCACCAAATTGACTGCATGAGAATCTAGACCTGCCATCCGCCCAAAAAACACTCCTGCAACTACCATTATCAACCTCTACTGAATAAAAGAATCCAGTATCTTCTGCTTGTTTGGTTTGAAAATGCTCTAAAAGTACAGAGTACCAATTAGTTCCAATTTTGTTTTGTTGGCTTCTTTTGATAAGCTTGCCATTATTCATTTCACCTAGATCCATAGAGACCATGCCAACAGCTTCCTCCTCTATGAATTTCTTCGAAGCTGTTGAAAATTTCTTCTGGTACACCATATGCACTTCAAGATCATGATTATGATCTTTATCAAGACGGTCTACTATCCAACTGCCAGAATCTTTCCTCTTAATCCTCATAAATGCCCCACAACCTACTCTTGAAGGGTGCTGGAACCCTTCCTTTGAGCACACAAATCTGCGGGAAGTAATTGAACCGTCATTCTTTGAGCGAAACAACTGACCAATCCGAACTCTAAACCCAGTACCTTCGGCGTATGCTTGATAACATTCATATGCTTCATTAGCTGTATTAAACTCTAGACCTGCATATGGTTCAGCTAGAGATTGCCCTCCATCTCCACCTCGTTTTTGCCGTTTGAAATTAATGATGCCAGATGGACTCAGTTCTCCATAATCTATTTTCTCCAGAAATTTGACTTTTGGCCTACGCAACACTTCAACCAATGATTTTGCAACAAGAGGAGGTCTCTTCTGCAAAATGGGTGACTGCCTTTCCCCTGCAAGTCCAAGTTCATGGTTATGATCCTTCTGAATTTGGTCAATAACCCACTTCCCTGAATCACGTCTTTGTACCCTAATGAAAGCAGGACAACCAGTCCTTGAATTCAGCTGAAAGCCTTCCTTCGAGCACACAAATCTTCTTGATGAAACCGACCCATCTGTCCTTGAGCGGTACAGCTGACCAGTTCGAATTTTGAACCCCACACGCATTCCATACAGACCATAGAACTTTCGTGCCTCATCTGCTGAATCAAACTCCAAACCAACAGATGGTTCCATTCTAGACTCTCCTTCATCTTCCACATTACCATTATTGATCATATGCACTATGTCAAGAGGGTAGGCTTTCACAACCATAGTATTCATACATTCTCCACTATTAGGATTAGCATCTGAGCTGCCTTCATTAAAAACGAATAATTAGAAGATCACCCAATATGGTTTAGATCTTTCTAGCTCAGCAGCTCCAAATATACTAGTTTTATACTGCTTTTTCTGATGGTACAAATTTTCTTCAAAATTTTTCTAATCAGTCAGTATCTGTATAAATATGCATGATTTATAGATTAAAGCTAAAAGACTGAAAATTCCACATGCATCTTCAAAATCCAAAATGACAAAATTATGAATTTTTTTAAAGAACTTTCCTTTCCTTGATTCTACTTCCATGTGAACTCAATAACGAACAAGGAATTGGAAATTTAACATGTACAACTAATTTGATGCAGAAATGAAGAGATACCCAGAAATTCAATCAGATAAGAGAGCTCAAAGAAAGCATCAAAATTTAAGGGCAAACAAATAATAACCTGATTAATGGCAAATTAAAGACAAATTGAAATCAGGGTTTTTTCCCCCCAAAAAAAGTGGAAAAAACATTACCTTCTGAAATCTGTCAAGTGACTTGATCCTGAACCAATACCCATATCTGGGTCTAGAGTCAAAAACACTAAATCTGTAAAATCTGGTTCTGATTTCTCTTTTTTGGCGGGAAATTATGGTGAAAAAATGAAAACAAAAAAAAAAAAGAGAATGGAAAATTCAGAGTAAGAGTTTTGACAGGAGAAAAGACAGAAGTGGGTTGGTTGGTGCCACTGATGGTTCCTAATCTTCCATTGACCTCTTTCTTCAGCTGTGGGCTACTCTCTTGTTCTATCTTCCTACAATTACTACAGCTCATCATGTCTTTCTTTTTACTTTTTTATTTTTTTATTCTATACACTGTTTCTAAATTCTGAATTTTCTTTTCTTTTTTTTTTTTTGTGTCTTTCATTCTATAGATACTATTTCTACTACACTATTTATTTTGCACATTTTTTTTTTAAATTATTGGTACAATTTTTTATTGAAATAATTTGAGATTGATTGATGTTTTATCTGACAGCATGACATACCAATAAAGCAAAACACTAAAAAGTTAAAGACAGTTACATTATTCTTCCAGGACCAAAAAGAAAATTTCAAATCTCTCTTATCACACATTTTTTTAAGAATAATAAAACATGACAAAATAGCACCATAAATTCAACAAAAACTTCAGTTCTGAAATGATGTTTGGACGTGATGTTAGAAAAAATGTTGGATAATTTTTTTTTTATAAGAGATTTAAATATCGATTAAATTCATTCGTCATAAATTTTTTTATAAAATTTTTTTAATCATAATTACAATAATTTGTTTTTTTATTGTAATAATAATTATAAGAATTATTATTAATCTAATAAAAAATAATTTTAGATGAATAGATCCTAAAAAATCAAAAAAATTGATTTGAATAAAATAAGTATAACAATATTTTTTTGATAAAAAAATTTAAGATAAATAAATTATTCAATTTTTTATATTAAGATAAGATATGTCGTATTTTATAGTTTAAGATATATAATTGTAAGTCGTGTGTTCGAAATAATTCAAATAAATGATCATCGACAGAATTTAAATTTAAAATTTTTTCATTAAAAAAAATAAATTTAATCAATTGAACCAATCACGATAACGTAACAACATTCTTGAATTGTTATCACGTGAATGCGACTTGTCTTGATCAGTTAAATTCCAACAATTTTCCAACAAAACCACAAGGAACACTGATTGCAACTTTGTTCAATTTCTATATTCCATGAAAATTGATTAATTAAATTTAGTTGAAGTTGAATATTTTTATTTTTTATTTTTAGTTTTAGCCTACCACTAAATAGTAAATGCTAATACCATATTTACTTGAAAAACAGAGATTCAGCGACAAAGCTCCCTCCCTCTCAATTGCTCTAAGCTCTTCTCGAACTGACTTTACAGCAATGGAGTTCACTCTCAATCTATACAAAGTCATTCACTGGCTGGCTAGGCATAGGATTTCACTTTCCAAGTTTACAACTCCACTTGGAATCCTTAATCTCATCTCTCTGTAAGTTCCATTCTGGTTCTTCCATATATCCAAGCATTTCCTGTTCGGTTTTTTTACCATAAATCTTTGATCTTTGCCTTGAATGGAAAATATCCATGAGTCAAAAAACTGAATTTCCACGGCCCTCATGAACTCTTCAAAACCCTAATACCCACATCAGAAATCTCACTGTAGATTCCAAAGAAACCGATTTTATTACCAAGGAATTTAGAGAGAATCAAAATCAAAATCAAAATCAAAATAAAGAATCTAACGATACCATAAACCAACCAAATTTGGACATTGTAAAACAAGTTTGCAAGATTACTAGAACAATACCCAGGTGAGAGGAAACTCTGCTCTCAAATTTCCCTTCTTTTAATTATTCTGACCCCTGGTTATTTTGGGAGCTTTTGAGACAGCAAGAGAATGTTCTTTTTTCTCTGCGTTTCTTTCACTGGCTGCCGCCTGAATATGAGTTTTTGCCTGACCTTGATTCCTGTGATGTGCTTTTAATAAGCTAGTGGAGGCTAAGGCCTGTAAAGCAGCAAAAAATTTTCTTGACCAGACAGGTTTTGGCCCCGAGCCAGGTTGGATTGGTTGAGGAAGCTGTTGATGTGTTTTCCATGTTGAATAAGATTGGCTATCATCCATCAAGAGCAACGTGGAATCTAGCGTTGTTGGCTTGTTTTAAGGTTAGCAGGAATGATCTTGTGCGGAAATTGTATCAGGATATGATAGATTCAGGTGTTATGGTGGATATTGATGTTGGGACTGGTGGGTGTTTGATTCAAGCCTTTTGTAATGATGGGGAGTCTTCGAAAGGTTATGAGCTTCTTCAACAGATATTGGAAGATGGGTTGGTGCCAGATACTGTTGTATTTTACAAATTGATTGTTGCCTTCTGCAAGACAAGGAATTATGGTAGAGTGTCTGAACTTCTTCACACAATGATTGCTACGCATTGTACTCGGGACATTTATACATATCAGGAAGTCATCAATGGAATATGCAGAAACAGAAAGTGGCTGGAAGGTTACAGGATTTTCAATGATCTCAAGGATAGAGGGTATGCTTCCAATAGGGTCATGTATACAACAATGATTCATGGACTATGTAAGATGGGGAGGCTTTGGGATTCAAGAAAGCTGTGGTTTGGGATGATTAATAAGGGAATGCTCCCAAATGAATACAGTTATATTGCACTGCTTTATGGACTTTATAAGGTCCATGACCTCGAAGAGGCAGAAAAGCTATATAAGGAGATGCTCAACAGAGGTTATGGTGAAACCACTGTGAGTTACAATACCGTGATAGCAGGGTTTTGTTCACATGGGAGGATGGATGAGGCTTATTGTTTATTTGAAGAAATGCTTCAAAAGGGCATTGTTTGTGGTTTGATCACATTCAATAATCTGATCCAGGGCTTGTGCATGGAAGGTAAGATTGTTGAGAGTCTGAATCTGCTCCATGAACACTTAGCACAGGGTTTACGGCCATCTACTTCCCCTTATACTCCTATAATTAAAAACCTGTCAGATCGGTCACATGCAACAAGCCAAAATTTTGTTGAATGATTTGCAAAGTAGGGGTCTAGAACCAAAAGTCTTTACTCATGATCACATCATTGCTGGATTGTGTGAGCAAGGATATGCTGCAGAGGGGATGGAACGGTTCGCAGAAATGCTGAAGAACAGACTGAAACCTCGGCTGAAGAACAGACTCAAAGTGATAGGTTAGATGATTCATTACTTGTTTTAGATCTTACGTTTAGAATAGGCTATGTACTTAAAGAAAGCATATGTCCATTTCCTGGTTACCAAGTTTTGCAGAGCAAATGCCAATTTTGTTGAATCATGTTTAGGAGAGGTCCTAGAAATGAATTAGGCAAAGCATTTCCAGTCATCCTTTTGTGTAATACTTTGTTAACTTATTTATGATGAAAATAGCTTCATGTATGTCTGATCGTGTCAAAATATATAAAACACGAAAATTATTATGTCTGTTGACACATTAAATATAAAATATATTTTTTAATTTTGGTTAAATTTATATATTATTTTTGTTAATTTTAAATAATATTTTTTCACACTTTTTTATATCATTTTTAGTTTTAGTTTGTATCTAAAAGTATAGATGTAATCAATGTTTTACAATTTGCATAAATTTTGTCCGTGGATATTCTGAAGAATTACATTATTATTGGACTTTTGATTTTGTCAATGGACATACATTTCAAATCTTTTTTTTCCCTAAACATCCAAAATAATGCATACTTGCATAGAAATTTACAGAAATTTATAACTAGACTAAATCATAACAAACAAACCAAAAGGTTGTCATAACAAACAAGTCAAAGGGTTATTTATTTATTTATTTATTTTAATAATTGGATAATTCCAACAATAAAATTAAAAAAAATCCCAATCAAATTATAGTAAACCATGATTTATTGATCGATTATCAGCTCCTAATAACGCGTGGATCCCACCTTACCAAATGTATTGATTGGCTACCTATATATATATATATGTATATATATATACATATATATCCATCCCATTTTCCGAAGAAACCAACAGCAAGAGAAACCGGAGAGAGAAAAAATATGCACGGATACGAGCGAGTGAGCAGCACGAGCGCCAGTAAGGCGGATCAGGTAGATCTAGAGTCAGGGGAGACTCTGTACCCTGGACTCAGCTATGGCGAGAACCAGCTCCGATGGGGCTTTATCCGCAAGGTTTACGGCATCCTGGCGGCGCAGCTGGTGCTAACCACCGTGGTCTCCGCCTTTGTGGTGTTGGCGGCTCCGGTCAACGACCTCCTCCGTGGAAACTCCGCCCTCTTGCTCTTCCTATGTTTGGTCCCATTCATCTGTAAAGTCCTCTCCTTTTCCGCTATTTCATTTTCTTTCAATTTTGATTCTTTCTTTTTCCACACGCTTTAATCCCCATAAATTTTGAATTTTTGTAAAAGAAATATTTGTTAGGGTTCTTTCAAATAGTATTTATGTTAATTAGGGCACTTTTCAATGTTTATTATGAAGTTGATCTTTTTCAAGCGTTAGATTAAGGATAGATTCAATCCTTTGAATCATGTCTTTGACGTTATTCTTCAACACAATTTGTTTCTATAATCAAGATTTTTGATAGATGAATAAAAATATGGGATGCTGAAGTACTAAGATATAATTTTATTAGATGATGCCTAATAAGAAAAGAGAAGCTTAGGAAGCAAGGGGTTGGGTGTGATTGGATTTGTGTTTAGAAAAGAACCCTAAAGAGTAGGGGTTGAGTAAAGGATTTGACAAAAGTTTGGTTCCCTAAACAATGATTGTGTTCTGTCATTTTCTTTATATATATTGATTCTATGTGTTCTATCGGCTTTATCCGGATGCTTTTGGTGGGGAACTTATGTCTCCTGTCATTGTTTATGTTGTGTTGGGTTTTTAATAAAGTGGTGTGCACTGTTCTTAACCTAGCCTAATGTTGGAGATCTTCATGTTTTCTTTGATGGTTTGTCTCTCAGAATAGGATAAAGAGATGTAGAGAGTTCAGATTTAGAGGGCGAGTCTTGGAGAAATGGTTAGGTTGCTCCTTTCTGACCGGAAGGTCATGGGTTCAAGTCTTGGAAACAGCCTCTCTGCGAAATGCATAGGGAAGTTTGTGTACTATGAACCCTCACCCTAACCCTCGCAAAGTGGGGAGCCTTGTGCACCGGAGTTTGCCCTTATTAGAGAGTTCAGATTTAGAAACCAAAGTAAACAATGGAAAGTTGTTAACAAGAGCCTATCCCTTTGCATGAGTTTTGTTTACTTTGTTGCTTCCCATGATAACCTTACCTTTGTTTACAAACAGTTAACTGCCTTTTGTCCAGCAGTTGGTATCAATAATTTATGTGATGAATAGCACATGACTAACCATTAAGCTTAGTTTGTGCCTTTAGAGCTTTCCTGTAACTTTTACCAATTGACCTTTCTTTTTGATTGGTTGTAGTGCATTTAAAATATTTGGAAGTTATTAGTTTGTGTCCAAGAATTTTGTAAACTTAGACCTTAAAATATGATATTGCATGCCTTCTATAATGGCCTAAATTTCTATATTTTGTTCTGATAAAATCATTAAGATTGGTCTTCAACTCTTTGTAGTCATTGAAGTTTTAGTTGTCTCAACATTATTTTCAGACTGATATTAAGCGTAAATAAAAACTTTGTTTTTAAAATGGTTAAAAGCAAACAAGTTAAGAACTCCCTGACTTTATTTGTAATCTACTAGCTTGAGTCATAAAGGCCCCCTTTACTCCCAAGCATTTACTTAAGATTTCATGGAGTTGCGTTTCATTTGTTGCGTCACATTACTGTGCTTTATCTTAACTATAAAATTTATTCCATGCAGTGTTGTGGCCCTTGCATGTCTATCACCAAAAGCACCCGGTGAACTTGGTTATCCTTGGCCTCTTCACTGTGTCACTGAGTCTCATGGTTGGTGTGAGCTGTGCTAATACTGATGGTTAGTATTTTAGTTGATGCTTGCTGTTAAATCCTAGGTCTAGTCATAAATCTAGAATAATACTCTGACCGACTGCCTTCATTCTATCATTTCAGGAAGAATTGTGCTTGAAGCACTAATTTTGACAGCAGGCGTGGTTACATCTCTTACTGGCTACACTTTCTGGGCATCTAAGAAGGGCAAGGACTTTAGCTATCTTGGACCAATTTTGTTCACTAGCCTTATCATCCTCATTCTAACCGGTCTAATTCAGGTGAGATACCTCAGGGATCTACCAATGCAATTGGAAGTTCAATGGTGTATGATTATATGTAGCATTCTTCTGACTTAATGTTATGTTTTATTATCATACAGATGTTCTTCCCACTTGGTCCAACATCTGTTGCCATCTATGGTGCAATTAGTGCCTTGATTTTCTGTGGGTACATTGTCTATGACACTGACAACCTGATCAAACGCTTCACATACGATGATTACATCCTGGCCTCAGCCACTCTCTATTTGGACATTCTGAACTTGTTCATTTCCATTTTGCGAGTGCTGAGATCTGGGGATAATTAGTTGTAGAATATTTCCCAAAGGTGGGATTGGCAAGAAATCTACATATGGTGATCGAATTACTGTCTGAAGAATAGGAAAAGTATTATTGTTTATATGGTATATTTTCTCTTGGGGTTTTTGTGCTATCACTAAGCCGGCGGCTCCAATTTGCAGTTTCTCTAACCTGATCAGTTGTGATATGCATATGCATAATTGGAATTATCCAAACTTTATGATTGCTTTTCTCTGCTTGATCAATATGGACTTTTTTTTTTCTTAATAAATTTTGCTCATGAAGCTACTTTATTATATAATAGTCATTGTCGATCTAGAAATGAACATAAACAAGCTTCCTTGATTTTGCAATGGTTGCAGTCTTTGCTTAGTGCTTTGCTACAGAGCAGCATCTCCGTTTTGTCTCATTTTCATGGTCCATTCCTTGGAATGTGATGATCCTCGAAATTGGCTTTCATGCTGTTAGATTGAGTTTGGAATATGATATCTAAATCACTCAATTGTTTCATAAGTTAGAAGGTATTTTTTTAAAGAGCTATTATGGATCACATCTTGACACTGAAAGTCTGAAACTTGCGTGATTGCATACAGACGTGCTGACCATTGAGGGATGGCAACCCTAATAAAGCACTTTATTGGTCTTTTTTTCTCTTCCCTGGAAAATAAAGATTAATTATATTTCAGTTGATGAGATAATCTTAAATGCGAAAATGATATGATTTAAAATTTTAATAAAAGTAATATATAAATGTGATAAAAATAAAAAATATGTCTAGTGTTTAGTGTATTAATATGAATTATGATAATAAAATTTTCATGCTTTACACATGATAAACATTAATAAACATGTACAATACATAAATTATCAAATCTATATTTATAATCTATATTTCTCTTGATATTTCCTTTGATGGTATGTTTGGTGCAAGATTGATTGCATTTTAAATTTTTAATCTCATTGTTGGTTTCTTGTTCTTAAGTTTCAAGATACCTTCTTTTTCTTCCTGTGAAATGTGTTTTTGACGCAGACCTAAACTCCCGCTCTTCACCTCCAAAGGAGATAGGAAGAAGGGAGAAAAAGAAAAAAATTTAGATTAGAAAGCATAGTTACTTGAGGCTTTGGGCCAAAATGGTTGACTAACAAGTTAAAAGGACATGAAACGGAAGTAAAGCTCAATGCTTAAGATCTGATTCACTTGGAAATTCCAAGAAATTTTATCTTCAAAAATGACTTGCCAAAAAGGGTCTCATTCCCTGATGAGAGAGACAAGTAGAGCAACCTCTAATTGAGTAAATTTTAAGCAGCACTTTTCATCCCTTCACTTTGCAAAAAAGCAACAATATACAATGAATGAACTAAAGTAAAATTCTCCCATGACCTAAGCAAGCAAAGAATAATGGAATCAAAGTAGGGTTCCAAAAGATACATAACCAAAGTGCACCACAAATGGCCTCTGGTGTCAATCTCTCAACAAAAGGCAAAGCAGTAATGATCATGCCAAACTGATAAACAAAGTACTTTATAAATCTAGCATGTAATCATTTCCCCTAACTACAAACAAACACTGCAAAGATAAAAGGATAGCCCAAATGATACATTGATAGTTTCATGATTATATTCAAGTGACTGAAGCAAGGAGGAGGCAATAAAATTGATATAAGTTTGTCAGAAATAGCCCATAGTTCATTTGACAACAATCTAATCTATATCGGCACAAAGGAAAGTACAATAAAAAGCATAGACAACTCTGTTCAAATTTATGACCAAAAATACAGATTATGACAAAAAAATACTTGACAAAGAAAATCAAGTATGACATTCACTGCTTATTGAGTATAGCATTAATTTTTTTGAATCAAGAACGATACAATTCTGCAAATGTTTCACATAGAATTGATTGAAATGTATGAACATTTAAAGCAAAAAAAATTGACATATAATTGAATCCAATCACTGAGAAATATTTATGTAATGAATTACCATGTTTAGGTAATCTTTTATCATTTATAAACTATTGTATTTAAAATTAACAAAAAAAAAATCATCTTAAAAGAACCTCAATGATATTAGTATTTAACACTTGATTTTGATTCCTTCAGATATCAATATTATATCAAGCTTTAACAGGCTGATCCTCATCATCATCATCATCATCAATATCCCAACCCAAATCCTCCTCTTCCTCTGGAACACTCAGCTGCTTACGCAGATCAACCTTATTAGCACTTCCAACATCTTCCCCTTTATTGTCATCACTGCTCCGAATCTCCTCAATCTCATCCCACCCTTCGTCCTCAGGCATCGACTGCTGGCTTGAAACTACGGAAACATCACTATCCTTACACGAACCTGCTTTCTCCTCATCATTTTTTGACAATTTCTCACCATCTTCACTCAAATTCATCTTCTTCTCACTATCTACATTTCCAATCTCCTCATCATCATCCTCATCAATATCCCAGCTCAAATCCTCTTCCTCCCCCGAAATTGCACTTTTAACAAGCTTAGCTCTAGCCTCCTCTGCTTTCATTAGCCTACTCACCTTATAAAAGTAATTACACCAACATCTGTTAGATTCAACTTCATCAGAAACTACCTCTTTAAAAATATCTGCAATAACAGGATTTTCATTAAACAATTCCTCAATTTCCCCTTTTTTCTCTTCGAAATTAAACCCTAATTTCCAATTCTCAAAATCCTCCAAATCCTCTGGTTCCGTAGAGTAAGTACTTTTTTCTGACTGAAGCGCTCGAATTTGCATCTCAAAACGACTGTACCGTTTTTCACTAATGCTGCTATTACTAAGATTCAATTTTTCATCATAAGGATTTTCAGAATCAGAATTATCATCGTCTGACGGGGATAAAAGCGTATCTTTACCGTGAGAGATGATCTGAGCCGTCGATTTCCAAACGGAGCTACCGATGTCATCAATGGCCTGTCCCACCGACTCGAGCTTTTCCTGAGCAACGGAGGCGCCGATCTCAAGGGAGTCATTGACGGCACGTGAGGCTACGCTTCTGATAATCTCGGTTTCCTTCTTTAACCCGGATCCGAATTCCTCGAAGTCCTTTCGGTAGGATTCGATCACGGATTCAGACTTGTCCGTAAGTGTTTTCATCAGGCCGCCGAAGCTCCACGCTGAGGATGAGCCCGGGTTCGGAGTCGGGTCGATGTGTTGATCGGAGTATTGGGGTTGGGCATCGTCCGAGAATACGTATTTGAAGAAATCCATTTGAGATTGCACAAATTCAATTGGAAGAGAAAAACAATTTTCCTTTTCTCTTTTCTAATCCTTCCTTTATTAATTTGAAATTAGGGTCTTGAAAGGATGGGGAAAAGGAGAGAATTGAGAATTGTGTCAAACGGTAGATCAGATCGTACCGTTGGATGGAGATAAGGTTTGCCGATTTTGCGAGGTGTTCCAATTGTTTAAAAGTTTTTTTTTTGTTTTTTGGTTGGATATGTCAACTTTTAGCTTTCTTTTTTTTTTTTTTTTTTTTCTTTTAGTAGATGATTTTTAATGTTTTTGAATTTCATATCTTTTTTATATATTTTTAAAATTTTAATTTATCCATAAACTCCTATATTTATATATTAAAGTATATTATGCATATAAATTTTTTCATATATGTAATCTTTAATTGTTAACTTTAATGTCATATTTAAGAGTATTTATTCAATCAATTCAATTAATTTTGAATTGATTAATTCAAAATTAAAATAAACAAAGTATATTATTTTATTTTCATTGATTGAATTAAATTTTTAAATTTTAAAAATTAATCAACCAAAATTAATTCCATTGGTTCGATTAATTAAATAATAAAATATATTAAGTTAAATTATGTTTTAATTTTTTATTTTTTCATATAAAAAATAAATTAAATAAAATTATTTAACAAAAATATTCAAATATGAAAGTATTAAATTAAAAATTTTGATACCTTAAAATGAAGTGGATAATTTCATATATTTTTAGTTTTTTATATAAGATTTATAATATTTCAATTAATTTAATTTTCGAATTGAATTAATCATAAATTAAAAATTTTTAAAATTCATATTTGATAATTAATCAAAATTAATTTGATAATTAATCAATTAATCAAATTACATCAATTCAATCAATTAATTCATTTAATTCAATCAATTAATTCATTTAAAACCGAATTATACACCTTTAATCATTCTAACTAATCCAAGATTAGTTATATTAGTATTACTATGAATTTGTTTTAAAATTTGGACTCAAATATCCTTGAATTGACTCACATATCAAAAAACTAACAATCCATTAGTCTAATTCAAGACTTTTAATATTTAAATGGACTTTAATAATATTAAACTATCCACTCATTGATTTAAAAATTTGCTTTTAGTTACATAAACTAATTTTAATTAAAGTTCATTTCCATACTAAAAAATGGCATGATATAAATTATTTACTTAAAAAATATTAAACCAACACCAAATATTTTGATTTAGTGATTGAAGCATAATCAATGATCATCATTTAAACTTCAAAATGTAGGAATCAAAACCAAAGATGCTAGATTTGAATTCTACAGCATTTTTAGTGTGGTACGATTGAATTCATCGTATCACCAAATAAAATTTACTGTCAACTCGAATGAAACCTATTCACCATAAATTTCACATTAATTTTTTTTTTCAATCACATCTATAGTAATTTTTTTAAAATTACAACTACAATAACTTTTATTATTGGTTTTAATTTTATTGGAACCAATCTCACTGCACATCTAAATAGAAGCTTAATGTCTAATAGAGAATAATGTTCAAAGGATTTCACAACAAAAGAGAAGTTAAAGAACATATAACCAAACCTTTACTTTGTTGGGGAAAAAAATGCTTCAATCATGCTACATACCCTGATCCAGGTATCGAATACGGCCATGCAACATTTCCATGATATAGCTGATGCATGATGAATTACAGATGATTCATACAATCACCTTTTTTACCGCTATGGGAATCAAATCTAGTTATGTTTCTTCACAACTTGTACAACAATACCATCCTTGATTGACATTTCTAACAAGACATTAGAAGGGCTCTTTAGAAGGGCATACTATTTCTCATATATTCTCTTATACCAGAGCTCTGGTAATCCTTCCATGCAAACTTTCTTTCCTAGGCAAACAGTTTCCACGCCGCGGAAGATCATCACTTCGAATTAGCATTTAATAAAAGACATAGGAAAGATCGAGAAGGAAACTAGGATTTAAGAATTGGCAACCGAGATACTCTTTCAATTTCCTTGATAATTAGTTCCTTTTCCTCTTCAAATTGCTCATCTTCGGCACCTAGACGACAATTATTTCTAAGAGATGAGCACAAGGACAGCTAAAATAAGGTTTCAAATGGAAAAGTTATAACCCAACCATTTATTTGGTGCCCTTTTTCAGAAAATGTATGAACAAATGAATAAGTACCTTTTCCTGAGAGATTTTGAAGCAGATCCAGCAATTTCTCATGGTTTTTTGCCAGAATAATCCTTATTTCTCTTGGCTTGTTAGGATTAGCAACGAAAACCTGAATGTGAATAGTGAGGGAAGGAAAGCAATAAATTAGAACAATTATAGCTATCTATGAAGTAAAATACCATTTCCTTTTATCTAGGTTTGTCTTTGGAAATGCAGCAGACGCGTAATGTGCCCAAGGCTAAGTTTCAGTCTGGATGAGTGATCTTGAACATTGATATCTGAACAGCTTTTGGGCAGGACATCTTACCAACTTCATAAGATGTAAAGTATTTACCATTTATTATGACATATCTTAGGGTTCATTGGACTGAGAAAGAGATAGAGACGTTGGGAACTTTCATAGCTGAGTTCAACAGAGATTAGCTTGAAACAACTCAGTTTCTCTGTTAATGTTAGATTGTTAGTATGATAAACTTACCAAATAAGTTCAATTTGGTGAAAGCAAGTGCCATCTCTATCAGTTTCCAACTCATGACTACCATCAGTCATCTTTTGTTATCTAATTATTAACTTAGAACACAGCCCTGAGGCTTTTCTACAAAGATGCATTTTTAAGAATTCATGACAGAACATGTGCTTGCTTATGAATAGGCCTGTGCTGGGACTAGCGAAAACGAAGTGTGCGTGTCTGTGTGTATGTGAGGTATATATATTATATATATATAATATATATATATATATATATATAGAGAGAGAGAGAGAGGGAAACACCACCTTGAAAATATGGAAAGCAGAAATCTGAATGTTTTTGCTTGAATCCTGCTTTCGACACAAAAGGAGCAGAAAATAAAAAGTCAAATCATATGACATACATTTTCAAACAAGATCTTCTCAACGGTTTAGATACTAATTGCACCAAGGAAGCAGACTGAGACGATCTTATTAGACACACATGTAAAAACAGAGAGCTAAAATGGTTCCACTAAGTCCAATCTATTAAAAATTGAATAGTGAAAATAATATTTCATAAGTTGAAGTAGTTTCCATAAAACAAAAATACCAGCATGCAGTCCCAGCTTTCACTCTTGTTTCACTCATCTTTCATGTCTCTCCAGGCCCAATAATGGACAGTGGAAGATGCAAGAGTGTATGATGGTTGAATGTAAATCAGAAGTCATTTCAATAAGACATCAGGACTGCTAATGGATGATTCAACCCAATTAACACCAAAAGAATCATAAAGGAGAGTAAGTACAGTTAATGAGACCTTCAGACTTGGCCAAAAGGATTAAAAAAAAAAAAAAGGTACCTTCAGCAATGTCATCATGATTTTCAAATACCGAACTTCTAAAATGTAGCGCTTCATTATATGGGAGTTTGGAGGTTCGAAAAGAAATTCCGATAGAAGCTACACCAAAAACATTTCAGCATTAACACATCCCAACAATCAACATAGCAACAGAGAAAAACTGGAAGGAAAAGAGAGAATGAGCCAGAACCAACCTTTAAAGATTGCCTTCTTGTCACATAATTAGGAGATGTCAAGAGATTTTCATATAGATCAAAGAACTGGAACAATGTTATCTCATTAGATAAGCCCGAAGAGAAAATGAAAAATGAATATTTCAACAAACTTATGAAGAAAGATATTTTCACAGCTCTGCACCATGCAGATTCATCAGGGGTAGCTGCACTTCATGTCCCTTACCAAAAGGGTACATACAATACAAAACATTATTGAAGAAATTTTTTAGCTGAGCAGGTCATCTAGGTTGAAATATTCAATAAACGTGAAGTCCTGAAGCAAAATTGTGCTCCACCTAGATCATTACAGAATCACATACTATATGGGATTAAACAGTATATAAATGTACCTCGTCATAATGAGCAGTCAAATATTCAGATACCAACGTTCCATGTTTTGTAAGCAGATCCTGAGGAAATTCAATCAAAGATGCATAAGAGGAAGAAAGCTTGAAGCCTGGAAATGCATTTACTTATCTAAAGTACCAATAAGACTTAAAAACTAATAGATCTAACCTTAAATGTTGAAAATGCATCAGAAGCAACATCAAAGTTGGGCAACTCCACAAATTTGAAGAACAACACGAAGCTAGCAGACTTTAATATGTATCTGAAAAATCACTACAAAATTTAACTGGTGAAAAAGTGAAACTTGCTTTTCAGTAAAGAAATTTTGCACCAAAAAACATGAATTTAAAATGAAGAAAGTGCCCTAGCAGCCAATTTTTCCTCCTTTAGTTTTAATTGGATTAGTTCATAGACACAAATCAGTTAAGAGTTTGACATCTACTGAAATCGGCAACAGCACTTCTAAAATAAATAATGCTTCGCCAATCTCTAAACTTCACCCATTCCTGAATTACCCAGCATGCAAGGTTCTTTTACTCGAAACCTTCATAATATGCTTTACACTTGATCTTTCAAAGCCACCCAGCTTAGAATATTAAAAAGAAGGATACCTTCAAGAACCTAACATCGTAAGATATTGAAAGCAGTGATATATCAGTCTACTAATAGCTGGAGTTGTGTCTGAATGTTAGCTGAAAGCAACATATTTCATGTATGCTTTGCTTATTCACTACCTCACCTCAAGAAAGACTAGTGAATAAGCCTTAGTAGACACTAGACACCTAAAATCATAGTTGGAAAAGAGCATACAAATGAGGATGACGATTGCAATCAAGGTAACATGCAAAACTGGCCAAAAATTAGATGATATAGAATATAATAAAAAATGGAAAGGTTATGCACCGAAAGAATTACATTTCCTCGGACAATCATCAATGAGGAAGAAGCAACATTTTTAACCATAGCATCATTTTAGCAACATCATTAAGTACTCCAATCATATGAAAGAAATAGTCATAAAGCTTGAATGTCTTACTGTGCAAGTGTCGGAAATTTGATGCACTCCCTTAACATATTTCCACAATTTAAAGCAATTTCCTTGTTATCATAGCTGCTCGCAAAATATAGAAATAAGTCTTACACACCTAACTTTAATGATTCAATAGAACACACATAACTTTGTCCATGTTATTTCAGTATGCATACTGATCAATGCCATCCTATAAAGATAAACAAGCCAATTTGAACACGACGAATAGAGAAGAGAAAGAAAGAATCACTTGAAACCAGTTTTATGCATATTTAATAAGCATGTAATAGGCAACAAATTATAGAGTTTCTCAAGCTTAAAAAAAAGGCATGGACATAGATAATTGTGAAAATGGCATTCATAACCTTACCAAACTACAAGAAAGTCCAGTAACTCCAAATGGTTCTCAATGTACTCCACACAGCAATACGTTGAATCAACTTTTTGCTTCAACAATATGGACCAACAGTGTACTAAATCTTTTCTTGCCTGTAAAAAAATATATTACACTAGCATGCTTATTAAACAACCAGATATGAGCCATAATAGTAAAAATATTAAAAACCTACTTCCCATCCCAGTACGGGTAACTTGTGAATAACGAGAGAAAGAACATCCTCTTTAGAAATTTCAAGTGCCAACTGCAAGACTTGATCCACATTCGGTTCAACCTCCCCATCTCCGGAAAGCATGCATCTCATTGTCGCAAAATTCTTTTCAACTTCTTCCATAGCCTAAGGCAATATAAAAACAAAAGTATCAATATCCAAATTCTTGAACTTGTAAATGGGTAATTAAAAAAGTAATTTAATGCAACAGCTGTCCAATTTTTATTTCATTTCAGGCCATAAACCCCATTAAAACCTAATTCCCAACATTTTGCTTGTGGCTAAAACCAAATCATCCATCCTTAGATCAATTTTTTGTCTGCATTGCATTGTAAAGTAGGCTAAAATGGTGTTGATCCCATGAAACAACATTAGCAGACATAGACACCAAGCAAGCATTGCCTTTTTTATCCCATAGGGTTAGAACTTGAACATTCCAGTTGGACGTCTCATGTTAAAAGCTTGTAGTGGACTTTATTAGATGGGACAGCTACCTTCATATCTGTTAGCTCAAAGGGCAATGGATTATCATATGTACAAAAAACAAAAGCATTAGCCATTCTGTTTATATTACAAATGACATTTGCATACATTTCATTGCTGATATCCTAATGACAATCAGTATCATTTCATGGGAAAGCAAAGAGCTCCAAAGTTATCGGAAGAACAGCAAAGTAAATGGCATAACATGTAAAATATTTAAAACAAACCAGCAAAATAATTCCAAAACCATTACCAAGTGAAATAATTCTTAAAACCCATTTGATAATTTCAATATTACAACAAATTCGAGACTCACCCACTTAACCAAAATCCAAAAAAAAAAAAAAGTCAAAGAATGCATGAAATTATACCAAATTTAAGCATAAAAAACCCAGAAAAAAAAAAGAAAAAACCTTTTCAAGGGCTTTAACTTCAGCAACAGTTTTGGTGTCAAGTGCCATGAGACTGTCTTTGATCGCCTTGGTTACATCTTGCGGGGTTTTGGGCCTTGACGGCTTGAAGAAAGAGAAGGACATGATCGATCAAATATTGAAATGATATGATATGACCCAAATTCAATTCTCTCAATTTCGCTTTGATGAAGGATTTGCATATTGACAAAAGGGAAAAGGATTGGTTGATCTGCTGTTAATCATGGAGACTTTTCACATTTTTTTTCACTCGAAATTATGGAAATTAAAAAAAAAAAAACCATTAATGCTGAGAAAAACGTTAAAAAGGAAATTTCCAGTTTTTCTTTAACAATAAATATATAATAATACTTTTATCGAAAATAAAATAAAATAAAATAATACTATTCTTTGTTACTTGTTAGTATAGTACATTTCAATGAGAAATTTGCATTTAATATATTCCAATGTCAAATTCATTTACAAATAAACATTTAAAATATATAAATTAAATTTTCAAAATTTTCATTTTTTCCATAAAATTTAATTAAAAATTATAGAAAAAGGAAAGTCATTATTATATTAATTTATATTTTTATATTCAATTTATTAAAAAAAATCATATTCTACAAACTATTAAATTTATGTGAGATGATAAATAAGTGAAAAGTCAAAAAATATTATTATAATTCAAAATTTTCATATTTCATTAAGTAACGATTTTATATTTAATAAATTTTTATATTTTATACTCATTTGGTAATACAAAAATTACTAAAAAGTAAACATATTTTATTTTATAAACTGAATTTTATTTATATTTTCCTTTCCAAACATTTATTTTTAATCATTAATTTATGAAATATAAAATATTTAAATAAATATAATACATTATTTAATTGTTGATTTTTCTCGTTTTATTTATATAATAACATTTAATGATTTTTTTAAATTTTTTTAAATTCTTAATCACCTTTAAACCTCCTGTCCAATTATATATCTAACTAAAAAATATATAAAGTGTTTTAAGAGCAATTTTATTTACATCGCACTTTTTATTCTCTATTCCTTTTTATTTCTACTAAATATATTTTCATCTCTTACTTCTTATTTTTTATTTTTATCTTTTATCTTTTTTTATTTTTTAAAATTTAATTTCTTCAAAATAAATATTCAATAAATTTTGAAGTTTCTTGAAAATTAATATCAAAGAAACTTTAACAATTTTTTTATATCTATTTTTGAGAAATCTTAAAGCTCTTCGAATATCAATTTACAATAAGATCTTCTTCAAATATCTATTTTGGAAAAGTTTTGAGTTTTTTTTTTTTTAAATTCAGTTCCAAAAAAATCTTAAAACTACTTGAATATCAATTTTTAAAAATTTGATTTCATTTTTAATCACTGAAAACTTTAATCATGTGTTTATAATTTATTTACTTAATCATATATGCATAAATGAAACTGAAATTGATATTTTCAAACATAGGTGGCATAAAACCTCTTTTTTTTCTTAAGACTCAAGAAACTTAAGAGCACCGCTTCTTTAATTTTTGGTTTTGTAGGGGTAAAAAAATATTATTAATTTTCTAATCTCAAGATAAAAATATTTTTATATTTATATGTTTCTAAAAATTAACATGTTGTTCATTTGTGCATATGATCAAGTAAGCATAGGTATATTAATGATTTATGTGTGTGCATACATACTAATTCGAGTTTGAATATTTTATAAAACATTAACTTTAACAATGTTATTTGTAAATTGATAAATTTGACAATAAAAATTTTTAATCTTTTGAACACCAATATAGTTTGTGAACTTTATATTTAATTAATTTTTTATATTTAAAATTAATAATCAGATGGATCTATGTAATCGATTTATTTTATTCCTTTTGACCTAAAATATTTGTCATGTATTAATAATTATAAAATTAAAAAAAATTGATTTTAATATATTTAATATTAAAATTTTAAAATTTTTATTTAATTAAAAATTTATGATTTTTAATTTTCAAAAATAAAAAAATCATAAAAATAATTTTAAAATATAAAATTAAAATTATACATGTTTAAAAAAAAAACATAATTTTAGAACATCTTAAAAAAATAAACCAAAAAAAAGGGACGGAGTAATAAATGGGATTTTAGTTTGGGAAGAAAATCTTGATTTTATTTTAATAAGGGCCTTTCTTGTCGCGACCCTGTCATCGTGGTAAGAAACGACGTCGTTGGTCCGTCTTGAATAATAAGCAAAGCATCGACGGTTTCCAGATTCTAATAAGGAAACCAACATTTGCCTCGCTCTTTTTCTCCGCACCTTCGTTTTTTATTTTTATTTTTATTTTTGTAAAAATCCAAAGCCATGCCCAACGAAAACAGTATGAGAGCTCTGTGGATCCTCAACAATCTCGACGCCGTCGTTTTCTCCAGGTTTAATCCATCATCGGAACTCGCTTTCCATTTCAAATCTCTCATTTATATGAACATTTTAGGGATTTGTTTTCTTTTTTCCTTTGAAATTGGAACAACAGCTCGATATTGCTTCGGATAAATGCTTGAGATCCAAATAATTTTAAAATATATAAATTTGATTTGAATTGAATGTTCAGGAGGTTTCCGGTGGTGGAGAAGTGGTGGCGAGCTGCTTGCCAGAGTGAAAACGAGAGCTCCGACGACGATCCTGCTAAGTACACTGTATTTTCTTCGCTTCCCTCTGATTCAGAGTTAGCTGCCGCATTCTCTGAGAGAAAGAGAAGGTTAGCTGATCTTCTACTCTCTCTTTACGAATCTCATTAATCATTGACATGAACATAACTGTTATGATTTGATTACTTTTTTTAAGCTTAAATTGGCCTTACTAATTATACTGCGAAATTAAGATGTGTTTGGTGCATAAGATTATGATAGGATAGGATAAGATAATATTATTAATAGGATTAAATTAAATAGTATCATCTTATCTTGCGTTTGATGTGTGCAAGGATTAGGATAGGATAATTTATTTACTGGTCAAAATTATCCTTCCTCAAAGTTTATACAATTTAAATTATTAATGTAATTTTTAAGGGTATAATAGAGATTAAAAATTATCCTCTCCACTTTGGAAAGATTGAATCATTCTATACCAAGAGGATGATTAATCCTCCTTGCAATCCTATCCCTTTCTTTAGATACAAATCAAACATAATATAGGATGATTATCATCCTATCCTATCCATCATCCTTTACACCAAACATGATCTTAAATCCTTGCTTAAATCCAAGCAATCATTATTTTTAAGGCTCCATTTTTTGTTACTTTGCTACTTACTTTTTGCTGCTGGAAGCAAAAACTAAACAATGTGTTTGGATTTCAAAGCAAAGGAGACCATAAGAATTTCCACCTTATAGCTATATGATATAATCCTGCTTCAATGATGTTAGTTGCTTTTCAATTTTTAATTTCGATTCAGATATGTGTATTTGTTAATTTTGACTTGTTTTACTGTTTTTATAGAGAGGGGTCTGTTCGCGGATTTGGTATACGTGTAACACAGTCAAGAGAAGGATCTGATTCATGGGTTGATGACCCAATTACACGTCATATTGTAGGCCTTTACATAAACAAAGAGGAGGAAGGAGAGAATAATCTATTGTGGCCATTAGCGTTGCACATAAAGGGTCCTTATTGCATTCTTATACTGCCCTTAGTTGAGCCCAGACATGTAAAGGCTTATGCAAGGTTGTGTAAGAGATCTGATTGTGGAAATGCTGTCATGGCAGATGAAAAATTTTCTTCTCTACTTCTAGATCTTCCATCCATGACAGGGTACGGTAAGTTGCAATAATATTCAGTAAAGAGTATCTCCAAATTAAAAAAAAAAAAATCTAAAACTCTTTCTTTTTCTTCCTTTTCCTCTTTGATATCTTTTCTGTTTGTTCATCATCATCATCTATTTTAAGCTGGCAGTTCATAGTCATTTTCTATATTTTCTTGTTTTCTATCACTCTATGTATCTTTAATTTAGAAATAGCTGTGAATGAATGTGAAATCATTTTCTTCTTCATGTTGTCAGTTCCTACATGACTTGTGTGGAATAGAAATGTATGAGGATTTTTGTATTGTGTAATTTTTTTCTGTTGTAATTGTGATTAAGGCTGGTGCTCAGCTTGTTTTGTGCTTTGAGTTTGTCATGGTACTGTTTCACTCTTTAACTGAAATAAAACTTGTTTAGAAAATTTTTTCTTTAATTCAGTTTTTTTGTTTTTTTAAGTTTCATTATATTTAAATTCATTACACAATTTTGCATCCTCTCTGTTACCAGGAAAAAAGGAGGTGGCCTATTACTTTATTGCTTTCTTTTCTTATGCTGCAGGGCATTCATGGTGGCTCATGCCATTGGAGAAATAGTTACTGGGGATGTAGTAGAGCCTGAGGTGGTCGTAAGTGCATCACCATTAGTTGGTGGATTGTTAGACTCACTTACTGGAAGTATTGGGATATCAGGAATCTCTTCAAGGGCGAAACCAGTAGCTGCACCTGTTGCATCTTCTGCACCACCAGGTGCTCCTGTGATGGGAGCTCTTGTATCTGATGTTCCAAAAATTGGTTCAAGACTATTGGATAAAGATGCACTTAGAAGTTTCATAAATAGCGCAATGCCTTTTGGTTGGTACTTTTTCATTATGGTATTTCTCATCCCATATGTCCTTGTATATTTGTTCTTGTAGATTATCGTTAGTTTACATAACAATATTTAATGATGACTCTTTATCTTTTATAAAGGAACACCCTTGGACCTCAGCTATTCCAACATATTCTCTATCAAGGTTAATGGCTTTTCTTCATTAGATGTGCCTCCACAAGACCTTAAGCAACCAGCATGGAAGCCCTATCTGTACAAGGGAAAGCAGAGACTTCTATTCACCATTCTTGAAACTCTTCATGCTGCCATGTATGATCGAGATGAGATTCCAGATAGTTTATCAGTCTCTGGGCAAATAAACTGTCGAGCTGAATTGGAAGGACTGCCTGATGTGTCATTCCCCTTGACAGGGTTGAGCACATCTAAGATTGAGGCTTTATCATTCCATCCCTGTGCTCAGGTTCCAGAACAAAATGTGGATAAGCAGGCTCTGATGTTCTCACCACCTTCGGGTAATTTTGTTTTGATGCGTTATCAAGCTACATGCGGCCTTGGACCTCCTGTAAAGGGATTCTATCAATTGTCTATGGTCTCTGAGGATGAAGGTGCATTTTTGTTCAAATTGTGCCTATTGGAAGGTTATAAGTCTCCTTTGACAATGGAGTTCTGCAATGTGACTATGCCTTTTCCGAGAAGAAGGGTTTTATCTTTTCATGGGACTCCATCTATTGGAACAGTTTCAAATGCAGAGCATTCTGTTGAATGGAAAATTATCACTAGTGGACGAGGGCTTTCTGGGAAGAGTATTGAGGCAATATTCCCTGGAACAGTAAGGTTTGCCCCATGGCAGACACAAAGATTACCTTCCTTTAGGTCAGTTTTTGAAGGTGCGACAGATGAAGAAAGTGATAATGAGACAGAAAGTGCTAATAATATGGTAAATACAGAGGAGTTCCTAATGGAGAAAATGAATAAGGATCTTCCTACAGTTGATCTAGAGGAGCCATTTAGCTGGCATGCATACAACTATGCTAAAGTACGTTCTTTTGTCTTGTTTTTCGTATCCTTGTTGCTTTTTGTGAGTTTTGGAATGACCTGAAGTTACTGTATTTGTTGCTAATTTGTCATCTGCAGACTTCTTTTCTTACCTTAAAAGAAGAGGGGGGGGGGGGGGGGGGGAGATTGGCCTTGTTTGTTCTGTGCTTATTAGCTATATATGGAAATGAAAATATTGTTAAACAGTAATGAGCTTTTTCTTTTGAAACACTGAATTCTGTTGGCCTAGTGTAATGGTGCAAGTGGCTTGATAGTCCTGGTGTGAATCCTTAGCTTGATAAGACTAGAGTATGGCTATGACAAGCCTCTCAAGAGAATGCCTGTGTAGCCTTGTACAGCTGGCTCTCAAGGGTCCATCTTCTGTAGGCTGTGTCTTGGCCCCTTCTTCTTATATTGGTTTCCTTGTGATGAAGGGCTGCTATGACACCATTCAAGGAGTTGCTAAAGACTGATCGCATCTCCTGCCTAACAGAAAAAAACAAAAAAAACCCGTGAAAGGACAAAAAAAAAGATTAAACACGGATTTATGGGATATTGATTGCTGTTCAATATTGTATGACCCTGATCCTCATTCATGGTTACAGGTATCTTTCAAGATTGTTGGAGCATCATTATCTGGAATGTCTATTGATCCCAAATCAGTAAGTTTACGTTCCTCAAACTTGTATCCCATGTTTAACTTAACTTCAGTTAACACTGTGCATATTGTAATAACTAACAAGAACATCAATGGAGATTGATTATGTTATACTAAAGTTGCTAGCTTTTTTACGGTTTGCTATCACCATATGTAGGTAAGCATCTATCCTGCTGTAAAAGCACCTGTGGAGTTATCGACTCAGGTAGGATCGTCTCAAAACCTATTTAAATTTTGACAGATTTAGCTTTACTTTCCTTCTGAAACGATATAAAATGTCCCTGATCCTGTCCCTCCTGTTAGAATTGCATCCAAGGAAAATGTATATACGTAGATTTGTCTTCATGTTTCATTACACTTGTGGTTTTAACAGGTTACTTCTGGGGACTATATCTTGTGGAATACATTAGGAAAGTGCCCATCTGCTGTAACTGTAAAAGTGTAAGGGTTACCATACGGTACCTCGTAGACGGATTTTACAATGAGGGAAGGCTATGCGAGTGTCATGGTCCGTGCACAAATTCTAAGCCAAGTGGGTCGAGAGACGTAGTTTGTTTGAGATGGTGCGGGCGAAAGACCAAGAAGGAAAACTCTCAGCCCGTGACACAAGCAGCTGCTTCTGCTGAAATCCTTTTTGTTTTGTGGATTTGAGATTTAAACTTTCGCACTTATAATTTTCTGTTTTTTTTTTTTGTTTTATTCTCGTGATGCGATTGCTGCGAACATGAAAAAGAAAAACAGGGATTTATTATTTATTTCTATAGCAGATGATTTTCTAGAACTCTAGTTTGAAGTTTTAAGAAACTTTGTTAATTGACAAAAATGTCTGATTTTAAACATGCATAATTTTAATATTAAAAAGAAACATACATAATTCTATAACAATTAATTAGAAGTTAGTAATTGCTTCAACAAAATAAAAGTCAATAACTGATGATGTTACTATCACATAAAAATCAGTGTAACTTAAAAAAATTCATAATGAAATTTGCTTCTTTTCAAAATCTAAATTGTGTAAAGCCTGCTTGCTCTTCTTTCCAGTATAGCTTTCTTTTCCCCCATCTCTCAAATAATATGTCCATTTTCATGTAACTAATTATTCCTTTTTTTTTTTTTCGTCAGTCTTCTAAAAAATGCCTTGATGAACGGTAAAGATCATATGGAGCCCACAAATGATCAACCACACATGGTTTCCTAGAATCTAGCCTTAGCCATGGTTTACCTTTCCCACTCCAATGGAGAAGGCTAATAAGACCAGGGTGAAGGTGTCTACATTTACCTTCAAAGTTGTCTCCACCCAAACCATGCTGGTTCCACCTGTGATTCACTGCTTTGATGTTCCCTGCCAAAACCAGCAAAAATGGTGGCAAAGAACCCAACTGGTATATCCTCTTCTGCTTCTGTAATGCCATCCACTCCTCCACTTTCTTCGTGTACCCTCCATTTCTCCATTTGTCCACATCCACCACCATTACTCCTGTGTTGAAATAGCATGGATTCCTTCCCTGGAATGTTTTCGATAATATTGGGTCAGACCAAAATGCATTGTTGAAATATAGAGTGAAGTTTGCATGACAATATTGGGGTGCTGCCAACACCTTGTCCTCCATATCCACATCCCAAAGCTTTGCTACATCATCGACAACAACAAGGTCTGAGTCCAAATAAATAACCCTTTTCACGTCAGCTGGTATTATATCAGCTAGATAAATCCTGGCGTAGTTCAATGGTTGGTCCAAAGCTTGTCGAATCGACTTTGATATCTTCCCACGAACTCGGTTCGAATCAAAACGATAGATTGTGAAATTCAGGTATGGGAAGGTTGATTTAATGCTTGAAACGAGCTCAGTATCGGAATGATCATAAAGGAAATGGAATGACAAGTTTTCAGGGCAAGTTGAGTGCTGTAACATGGATAAAACAGCTGCCATTGTGCCACGGAGGTAATTTGCATCAAGGGTCATAGCAATATGTATCCTGTCAGCTTCCTTTGATCCACATGTGTCACCATTGCGAAAAGCTGGGGCTTCCCGGAAAATTGGAAGGTTCATTGGAGAAGGTTTGTGGATGATGGTGCTGACACGGATGGCGGTGGTGGTGGTGGTGGTGGAGTAGAGGAGGAGAAAGGACAGGAGGCCAAGGAGTGAGGCTATAGGTGTTGAGGTTCTCCACAAGGCCATCCTGTGCCTTTTTTTCTTTGGGTTCTTTGTGGGATTGACTTCAAGGTTTGAGGATGAAAGATAAAGCTGCTATTAAGACAAAAGCAAAAATAAATGGGATTAAAGACCCAAAACAAAAAGGGTTTAAAGATGAGGTTGGTTGGTAGAATCTGTTTGATGGTTTATAAGGATGAAAGACAGAATGTGGCTGAAAATTGAAAGGAAGAGAAAAAAGGACGGTTAAGAACAAAAAATAAATAAATAAAGAAATTAAAGGATAGAAAACTAGATTTTTGGAGATATTTAGGGAATTTTTATAACTTTCTTTAATTTTCTTTTCCATTGTGAGAGTTTGAGAGAAATTTTTGACCATTTTTAGTGATTTTCGAACGGTGGAGAGTCAGTTTGAGGATGCATATACATGCATGCATGGATCAGATAAAATTTGTTTGACTTGGTTAATTTTATTGTGATCAGTCTGCTTCCCATATCCACTTGGGTTGACTCTACTAAATTAAAAAAAAAAAAAAAGAGTAGATTTTGATTGGGATTTTTATTTTTTTAGAGCTTCCAAATCAATAGTAACCCGGCTGCTTGATACCTTGGAAGTAGGAGCTTGGCTGTTTTTCAAGTATATAATAAAAGCTATTGGAAGGCCACAAGATGTGGAGAATTGTAAAAGCCCAGTTTTGTGTTTTGAGTCCTCAAACATTTGGGTTTCAAATTTTAGGCCCGAGCCAAATTGTAGCCCATTCAAACATTAACATCATTGACAAAAAAAAAAAAAAATAACATAATTTAAAATTTTAATAATAATTATATATAAATTTAATAAAATTAAAATTTATATTTTATATTTTTGTATTGATATAAATTATAATATATAATTTTTATATAAAATAAAATATAAATATATAAATTTTAATATTTTACATAATATAAATACGTAAATAATTATATTTAACTATTACCAAACTTTTTCGATGAAGGAAAAGGACTGGAAGTAGCAGGCAGTGATTGATAATTGACCATATATGAGCCTGATAAGTGATGGAGACTCAACATGCGCATGCATTAATCTGTACAAATTTCAACTCAAAAACCAAAGGTCAAAAGCAGATGTTTTTCACATCTCAAATGAATATATATGTATACCAAAAGGATTAAATTCAAATAGACACACTTTTAGCGAGAAAAAATCATAAAATTTTTTAATTAAAGTAAATAATATTTTAAAAATTAATTATGAATTTTCATAAATGATATCAGAATCAAGTTTCAGTCGAACGAGAACTAAATACAACATCGTATGAGTTATCTTTAGAATCTTATAAGAACGAAGTGCTACACTGTAAAAGTTATTTTTAAAATCTCAATTTTTGATGTGATTTAGTGATTTGTGTATACTTTATCTTAGGCTTGACAGAGATATCAAACTTTAACGAAAAGAGTTTGTGATATCCCAATCTTATATCGAGATACTTTAAGGATCTGTTATAATATATATACATATATATATGCACTTAAATTTAAATCTGTGAGATATTTTTTGTGAAATAATATTGTAAAAACTTCGAATTAAAATGAACAATACTTTATAAATTGGATACAAATCTTCACATTTACTATTAACTAATCACTTCAAAAGTGGAAAGAATCAAACCAAAACTTGAATTCATGCCAGATTGAAAGTTTTAAAAGAAGACAACGGAATGATCATATAATTAATATATAACATGATTTTTGGGTGTAATAAATTGAATATAAACAAATTTGGTTATATTCAAGATTTATTTATTTAGTTAATGAAGGTTAAAAGTTTGTTTGTGATTATTAGTTAAATTTAAAAAATTAATATAAATAAATAAAAATTAAATTTGTTCACAAATTATTTGTTATACATTTTATTAATTTATACTTCCAATCTCAAGTATAAAAGATAAAATATAAATAAATTTTATTATATTCATAATTTTGTTGTTTAATTAATGAACGATGAAATATTATTCGTGATTGTTTATTAAACTTAATAAATAAATAAAAATTAAATCTATTCACGAAATTTTATTTAACATTGTATATTTTATTTATACGATTCTTATGTTTTACTTGTTGAGGAAGAAGGAAAAATTGATGGAACTATTTAATTAAAGAAAATTAATTATGCTTAAATTGATGCTTGTTATGTCATGCATGCCATGTTAAGCATATAACCTACTCATAACAATACTAACATTATCATCATAATGTTACATTTTTAGCAGGACACACTTGTTTTTCTCATCTCATTTCCCTACTGCAATAGTCATAGATTCTTTGTTTGCCTGGAGAGCCTAATGAAACCAGTTAGTGGATTCCCCAAGGGCCTGTTTGGGATGCAAGAAAATAGTAAGTACTTCAAAAGGTTCTAATATTCTTCTATGCCAAATAATCCATTTACACCCACAAACAAACCAATTTCAATTTCATTTCATTTCATTTTGTAATTTAGTAAACCTTATAAGAAGGTAAATTTTATTTTTTAAAATTTAAAATTTTTTATTAAAAATAATTATCAAGATTAAATTTATTTGATTCAAAAGGAAAAAACATGAAAAAAGGGAAGCAAGTAAAGCTCTACCAAAAAGCTCCCTCATTGGGGAAATCAAAGAGATTTGTCCACAGAAAGAAAATTGTTAAAAAGGGTGGTGGATTTTGTATGAGGGAAATGTAGAAAAGTTGGGTTTTTTTTTTTTTTGAAAAGATTTCAGATTAGATAAATTATTCAATATTTTATATTAAAGTAAGATATATCATATCTAATAATTTAATATAAATGATTGAAAATCATACATTTCACATCGATTGAACTCGAATTCAATACTTTTATATTAAAAAAGAAAAAAGATTCTTGCCAATTGAGTTAATTGTTGGTGAAAAGTTGGGTTTAATAATAAATTCAACTTTTGAAAGGGGGCAGGGAGTTTGAAACAGAGGGTACATGATGGCCTCCATGTTTACATTTCCATGCCTTAACCCCCTTTGGCCCCCAATTTGCCATTATCAATGCCAGGCATCAAAAACAAGTTTTTGGGGTCTCTCTAAATTTTATGAGATCTCTTGAAATTCTCTCCAACGCAGGAGTGATTGGCTGTAGAAAGAAAGAAAATAATGCACTTTCTCACTCAACTTTTCTATGGGTCCACTTGCTTTTTTTGTACAGCTATATAGGGTGGTCCGATTTTGGCACCCTGGCATAAGGAATGACGCATGGTTATGTCATTCATCTTGCATAAGGAAACGGTGCTATGAAATCCAAGAAAAGCATGGTGCATTTGCTCTAACAGTCCACTTTCATATTCAAATTCATCTTTATTTAGGGTTGGCAATTCAACATGAATTCATTGAGTTTTGATCCAATCTAATTTTATAGAATTGATATTTAATAAAAAATCAAATTTTGAGTCGGATCAGATTTTAAGTAAACTCAGCTCAACTCGATCTGATATCTAAAATATTTTTTATTATTTATTTAATTTTATAATTTTATAATTATAGTTTAAAAATAATATTTTATTAATTTCATATTAAATCAAATTAATTGTGGTTTTATGCATATGCGAGTCAAGTTCGATCGAATCGAGTATAAAAATAATATTTTAATATTGAATCGGATTCAGACATTTATTGTATAAAATCGGGTCGAATTTAAGATGAGCAAAAACCCATCCCTATCTTTATCATTTTGTTTACATGTAATTAGATATTTTTATTAATTTTAGAGTTAATGTCATGAATTACTTAAATATTATAGTAAAATATTTGATATGATACTTAAATTTTAAAAATTTTTAATATGATATTTAAATTATGAATTTGTTAACTAATGTAGTTCATCTCTAATGTGATTAACTCAAATAATAACATGAACAAACGCTTTCTAAGTATAATATTAGTTAAAAAATTTATAATTCAAATAATACATTAAAGATTTTTAAAATTTATATATCATATTAAATATTTCATTATAATTTAAAAATTATTCATGACATTAACTCTTAATTTTTATCTCGTCTCTATATTAATTAATTTTACTATTATCATTATTTTCAATCTCATCATCCATTCAAATGTACTCTTTGTCGTATGTTTAGATATTTTGTTTTTGATAAAACTTAGAATGTTATTGTCAATTAAGCTTGAATCCAATTACAACAGGAAGCATGCTAAAAATTAGAATCCAAACTTGAAGAAAGTTAAGGATTAAGGATTGTATTTCTGGCATTTTGCTCTTCATCATATTGCCTTTCATTCTCTTTATCTAGTAAAATGGTTTTTTAAGAACCACAAGTAAACATATCATCCAAACACTTAAAGATTCAATGTGAGCACTGCATGGAAACTGCTTACCTTATATCCAAAAGATCTTTGAGTGACATGAAATTTGGAAAGCACAGAAGTTGGTTCAACTAGCGGGTACATCAGTTAATTTTAAATAAGATACGATAAAATAATATAAAATTAATATAAAAAATTTAAAAAAAGTTTAATTTAAATTTTTAATAAAATTTTTTTATATTTAATATATTCATATGAATTTGACATATAATCAAGAACACAACTAAAACGGGCGAATTATCAACTTTACCCGATAGTGACTATGTAGCCAAGAAATGTAAGGAAAATAGAGTAAAAATTGAAACAAAAGCAAAGGCATGATTGGCCGAGGTAGAACTAGAGGTGTAATCGATTTAGTTTAAGTTGATATAATATTAAATTCGAGTTCAAGTTTAATTTGAAATTTAAGATTCAAAATTTAACTTAAATTTGATTTGATTTTTTTTTAGTTTGAGCTTAACTCAAAATAAAAATCAAGTTACTCAAAACTTACTTGATTAGATTTAATTAACATGTTAAAATAAATTCAATGCTTGATTATTTATAATCGATCTCGAAATCAAGATCGAGCTTGAGATATATATTATTAATTAAAATATAAAAAAATTTTAAAATATAAAAATTTGATTAATTTCATGAATTACTCGAATCGAATATAAAAATATTTGAATTCAGTTTCATCAACAAGTCAAGTTATTCGAATTCGAGATTGACTCGATAATAATCGAATCGAATTTAATTTTATTTAAATTAAATTTAAATAATTTATGAATATTAATATATTATTTATATCTTTAGATAGAACAA